AAATAAATTACATATAGCCGTCAAAGTCATTGTGAACATATACATTTTACATATACATGTTTTTATTACTACCATCATTCATACAGTGGTTCATCACGTGTGTCTGCGTGTGGCTTCGTCCCAGCGCAACGTTTCTAAAGAAATTACCAATTACGGAATAAAAAAATCGGTATCACTGGAACCATATTGCCTGTTGAAAGGTAACGGGACAATGTCATTGATTGGTTGAGACTCGGTACTCAAGGAATGATATATGTGTGCATTCGAGTTCGGATATTCCTGCAAGAATCGTAAATCCTAAAATTACACTCTGTACAATTCCTACTGGAATCACGATTGTTCTGTGAGTCATTCGCGTGTTAAACCATTCATACATTTACACGAGAGTGTGTGTGTGTGTGCGCTTGCACTCATACATGCTTGTGAGAGCATCAGGCCACATTTCCAGGTTTAACGTGGCCAGTCCAGGGGATTGCCATCGGGTGTTCAGGTGGCAGGAATTTAAATGTATCCGAGATCTGGTTGGTACCGTTCGTAAAAAAAGTATTTTATGAACGAGACGATTCAGGTTATACAACACAGAGAATATGAAAGGGGTTTGACACCAGCACAACAGACATTACGAATTAACAGTGAAAATGGAAAGTGGTCTAAAATGCGTGTTTCAATAAACTGTTTCAATAAAATCTTGATTTGAAGCTTTCGTGACTGCAGGAATCCATACTCTTTGGTCATTTCGGTAAAGTCACGTAGGTAGAAAATAAAATAAATCACGACGTTTCGGGCGCAACACAAGCGTCGTGATCTATTTAATTTTATACCTATGTGACTTTACCGAAAGAACCAAAGAGTATGTTTCAATAAACTCTACAACCCTGGTGAAGAAGAAGAAGGGAGGGTGGGGAGTGCCTACCTGCCCTCATGAATGTTCTTAAGAATCAATGCTCACTGGAGGAGAGATATAGTGAAAGGGTTCCATGTTTGGTCGTAAGCTTCCTCCCTGCCCCTGAGTTTGCACTGAGGTGCTCAGGAGCACGCAATTTTTAACAATTGGCCAATTCCTGCAGTGTTGGGGGAGCGTGGCTCTTTCCAGTTGGCTATAATGGTGCGTTTTGCCGTAACATTGAAACATCGGAATAATGTATTTGCCTCGCTGGAAAGGGCCTTGAGGTTTCAAGTTGCGTTGGACTTCGTTGCAGGGCACCGCACCGTTGTGGTCTGTGGAACGGGGCGCCAACCCTTAGGCACTGGCCCGAGTGCTGAGCTGACCCCAATGAGGCTTGGGGTCAACTGCAGACACCGCCACCTGTGATGATAAAACAAACAAAAAAACTCTAATTCTCAAGTGCCGGCGCCTTGATAGCGTTCACTCATCGTCCACATCTTACAGCTTTGGAGAGCCAAGAGTGTTTGGTTTTATTGTGGGGCGACTAAATAAATAAGCAGCCTATAAAGCTCCTGCACATATTTGTCCCTCCGCGTGAAAATGAATTGCACTTTTTTTGGCACTTCCCGTCAACCCAAAGGCCTTCTGGGAGCGCATCATTTCAGCAGCGTTGGTGTGAGCACAACCAAAACTCTGCACCGATGTTGGCATTCGGTATCTCACCAGGAGAGTCAGGCTTTGCTTGAAGCAATGTTGACGTGCACTGCTAAATGTTATGGGCAAAGGCCCTCTCTTTACGATACATGTGGCAAAAGCTCTTCACTTTGATTCGAGGGCCAGCAACCTTGGTAACAGGGCCAATGGGAGAGGGTTCGCGGGCAGATTTTTGTGATCCCATCTTCGGTATCCTTTACGTGGGTGAGGCGGACAACGTGAGGTTAAACACCGTGTTTCTGTACGATTCGTCAGAATCAGGATGGTGAGCATCATTTACTAAGCTCGAGTCGAAACGTCTCGTTAATATAAATAAAAGCTTCTCAGATGACATTTGCTGTCATAAGCGTCCTTATTTACGACAGCCTAACGAGCATTTGATTACATTGGGCTGATGGATTTTACTTTGCGGGGATGTTACTTTGCAAGCAGGGGGGGGGAGGGGTGTTATACTGTAGGTAATGCGGTTATCCATAAGACATTAGTGTTGGGGCTCTCGTCGCAATTCCAAGCCTGGCATCGTGATCCCAGCACAAAGTGCGCTGCACGAATCGTCCACGGCAGAATCCCTGCTCTGACGAGGCGCAATGCCTGCAGCAAGCACCCTGGGCACAATTGCAGAAACCTCGCGTCAAATGTTTTTTGACTCTCTTTTACCTCTTTCATCCGACGGCGAACTTGTTGGCGATTTTGTATTCACACCGTGAGTGTGATATGGTCAAGCTCAATAGGACATTACAGTTTACGGCGCAGCTGCTTGAACACGTGGGATTTTACACTTTCTTAAGCAGTGCAATAGCAGCAAATTGCAAAGCATCGCTTGTAAAATACCTTCCCCGCACTCGCGGGTGTGTTGACATTGACTCTCAGTGGCTACGAGATGTTAACTACCTCACCTGGTGTACAAGAGGTCGTGGGTTCGATCCCGACGCTGACGCCTGTGGTAAATGTGGAGTTTGCGGCGTGTCTCTCTCATCATCATCAAGGTGGCTAGGAGATGTTAACTACCTCGCCCGGTATACAAGAGGTCGTGGGTTCGATCCCGACGCTGACGCCTGTGGTAAATGTGGAGTTTGCGGCGTGCCTCTCTCATCATCATCATCACGGTGGCTAGGAGATGTTAACTACCTCGCCCGGTATACAAAAGGTCGTGGGTTCGATCCCGACGCTGACGCCTGTGGTAAATGTGGAGTTTGCGGTGTGTCTCTGTGGTAAATGTGGAGTTTGCGGCGTCTCTCTCCCCGTGGTCGTGTGGACTTTTCTCCGGGTCCTCTGCTTTTTCCCTCCACATTTAGCACCAACATGGTTTTGGAGTATTTCGGCTGCTATACATTTGCACACGATGATGAGCCGCTTCGTTGGCCTATTATTTGTGGCCAGGTCGCTTCTGAGAAAGAAAAAAAAAACCGATATACCTCAGTGGGCCTTACCTGCCAACATAAAAATGTTTGTTTAGTTTTAGTTTAATCGTGTAACTGCAACACGCACATCACCAACACCAAGCAATGGGCAATGTTTCTCCTTGGTCAAGGAAGACGTGGGGTCAGTGATCCTCCTCGTCGGTGACTCGGAGCCAGTGATGTAAATTCCACATTCCTACGTAAGGGACGAGTCAGTACTCTGTACTAATCATTCGCTCTTAGTACGAATATTATGGACCCGAGAGGGAGATCGGTGCGAGTGGTCCCCCAAGGGAGAAAGTGAATCCTCCTCACCACCTCGCCGCTGTCTCGCGTACCACGTGTGAACACAACGGGAATTGTTGTTCTATATTGAACATTAAAAATGCATCGCTTTCAGGAAACATTCAAACTTAGCTCTGTTGCATATCTCTTGTTTGGTTATTGCTTATTTTTAGAGTCTACCTATACGTTCGTATTTATTACCTATATTATGAGAGCGGTCCACCACATCCTAACACGACGAATTACGTTTACAAATACTGTAACTAGCTCAAATTGTCGCTTCGCAAAACAACACGTATTTCAACACCTTTTGGTTCGGTGATCAGTGTGTGGGATTTGAAAGCCCGGTAGAATCGCGTGTTGGCCACCTGGATTCAAACAGTGCAGACAACCTAGGGTGCCAGTCTCTTGCCCAGTCTCGCCCCTCTCGGCCCTGCTCCCTTCTCGCTCCCCCCGTCGCTGGAACCAAGTTCCAATTTGCGTGGAATCAGCCTCACTCAGGCTGCTTCCTTCCTCGCTTGTAACAACACACTCCCCATGTCTTGACCCCTAGACCGTCTTCATCCTGCTACTGTCTGCCGTCGACACCCCCCAGCTACGACCAGGCCTGCCCCAACCCCTTTCACTATCGCTACCATTAACCCAATCGTTATCACTACCCATATCATTACCCCACCCCCTATCACTACCCTTACCCCTTTCACTACCCCTATCATTACCCCAACCGTTATCACTTATCTTATAACTACCCCTATTACTACTCCAACCCCGATCAAAACCCCTATCCCAACCACTATCCCTACCTCAACCCCTGTCACTATCTCAACCACTATCGCTATCCCTATCAGTACCCCAACCAAATACAAGCACGTGGACTGCGAATGACACATTCATGTTGTTCACGCTCAGCGAAAGCCCCGGCTCGTGGACAGGCGGGCGAACAGCCAAGAACGCCTCCATATATGGGCCTGGGAAAATAACGCCATGCATCTTAGATCGTGATATGAAGCTTCCGTGACCGCAGGAATCCATGTTGTTTGGTTCTTTCGGTAAAGTCACGTAAGTATAAAATAAATGACGACGTTTCGGGCGCAACACAAGCGTCTGTCATCAGGTGTGAAAGCTTGGTCTGCTGCTGAGGCAGACTCTTTTAAAAGGTTTGAAATGGGTGTAGCTCCGACCACTTCTTTATGACCCTTGGGCAACAACCATCTCAAACCTTTTAAAACAGTCTGCCTCAGCAGCAGACCATGTTTTCACACCTGATGACGGACGCTTGTGTTGCGCCCGAAACGTCGTGATTTATTTTATTTTATACCTCCGTGACTTTACCGCAAGAACCAAGGAGTATAGTTTATATCGTGTCGCGGGATTCATTATGTCCCGTTATGGCGCAATAGCGTCGTGCAGAATCTAACAGCTCTCGTCCAGGCTCCAGCAAAAGAGTAAAAATAAAGGTCGCAATCTGAGCGTGGCTTTTTCACTCCAGCGCTGTCCTCCAGACAGTCTCGTCCCTTCACCTGATGAAGGCCGCTTGTGTTGTGGCCGAAACGTCGTGAGAATATTATTGTGCTTATTCTATCCTCATTCTACGTGACTTTACCGAAAGAACCAAAGAAGATGAATCCTTGCAGTCACGAAAGCTTTAAATCGAAAAGTAAAAATATAATTCGACACGAGCTGGGCCCTGTTGACAGGGCGGGGCACCTGCTACCTGTTCGTAGAGGCGGTGGTGATGGCAGCAGGCCAGCACACACGGTTCGAGCATTATTCGAGAAGCGAAGCCTGGCTTTCGTGGTGTGTAAAGCCATGAAAGAGGAATGATTGAACGTTTGTAAGCAGGTGTGTCCACTCGGGCTTGGGGGAGCTGGACTATTAATTGAGGACAATGCTAACAGCTCGATTGATGAGAGAGAGAGACAGAGCGAGCACGCGTTACCCAGGGGGTGTGCCTCGCTAATTGGCTCTGCCGCTGCTGTATAAAAGGGGCCGGAGAAGCCCGTGACGGAGAGGAAAGCTCTGGCTGCGTGTTGCTTGGAGGCGATGCCATGCCTGCTGGTGGTGAGACATGCGCCACAAGGTACGATGACTCCGTTACGAGCCTGTGACCGATGCTCAAGAAGTGCACCATTAACGCTATTTCACCCACAGCCCGCAGGACCCCGGCGCTATACAGCAGGTGTCGTCGGGGTCGGGATGGGAACCCATGACCTCCTGTACACCAGGGGAGGGAGTTAACATCTCCTAGGCACCATTAGCGTCTTCTTCTACAGTTACGTATACTATCACACTGCAAGCACAAGTCCTCCGCCCACCATTGCCCTCGATTGTGAAATGAATGTCCCACCCACCGCAACCTCTTAGTAGTTTCCGTAGTTTATTTCCTGCCAAAAGTCTCATTCTGAGCTTCCGATCTAGAATTCGAAACAAAAGATGAGTACTTGCGCTTAAAGCGACGCCCCAATGTGTTGCGAGGGAAGACGCAAGACGTTAGGCTGCGATTTGAGTTTGCTTATTTCAATGACGAATAACAAACGTGGTGGTTGAGGTAGTAGCTCGCAATGAATGAACGAAAAACAAATCTCGCCAAGGGCATGCCCAGAGGGGAAACACTCCAGAGAGCACGTGAGCATAACGCACCATTCTTACGGCACAATTGCGATCGCGAGGGCCTCGTTGCTTCGTAACGTTGGGGCTGATGCAATGAGATCGGCGCGCGCGTGTGGGCGTGGGATCGAACTGCGGAGTTGCAAGACGGCGGGGGATGGTGGTGACGTGGGGAGGCCTTCGTCAGGCAGCGAGATGATTATGGCTGTTGATGGTGGCGATGATCGTGATCCCAAATCGTATTCGAGACGTTCTATTGGAGACGTGATGGAGACTGCACCGCGTGTGCTCTGGAACAATCAGGCTCCACTCGCTATAACACGTGTACTCTGGTGCAACTAGCGGACTCCACCCGACTATTCCTAATGTCGTGAAATGGCTCTCAACGTTAAAAATGCAGTTTTAGCAGCCGGTTTCTTTTTTTCAAACGCCATACAATAGAAGATATGGCGCGCATTTTTATTTGATATTTTTACGGCGACAAATGTAACGCATGTGGATCTGCTGGAAGATGACATCGCAGAACTAGTCTCATGTTTTTAATTGACCTTGGTTTGACCTCTTATCTATAATAAGTAGCACGTAATTATATATGCCTGGAAAAACGTGTGTGGTATGAAAGTAAAAGATTAAATAGTATGATTCTTAGAGACGAAATTGGCAAAACTAATTGAAAAAAGAATTTAAAAAACATGTTATCAGTCATTGGTAACTAAACTTAGTTAATACCATTAATTCACTGTAAAAATATTTTAACATTTTATTGGAGAACCCTGTTTAATCGCAGATGGTTATCTAGTTTTAAAAACCATAATTTCAGCAGTGGCCACATTTGAAAGATTTGTATGCATAGAGAGGTGGTCAAAAAGCTTTAAAGATATTTCAAAAATTATCCCACTAATTTTTAACATCTAAAGATGCTTAAGAATGGATGGAAGCTATTGTTCCATCATTGAATACATAACTAAACTGATTATTTTACCAGATAAAGCACGCGGCGCGATACAGCTCGTATTCAGAAGTGGCCTTGCCACAGATAACAGCTCAACAAAGTGACTTATGTGGAAATTTATGGCAGCCAAATACTCATTGGTTTTTTCGGTAAAGTCACGTATGTAGAAATACAATATTAAAACAAAAAAAACAATCACGACGTTTCGATCACAACGCAAGCGATCTTCATCAGGTGTCAAGAACAAATCACGGAGGTAAATACAACAAAAAGATGAGAGACGAGAATTCAACAAACCTGAAAAAAACATTATGTGAAGCACATCCAGTCAGGCCAACAACACAGACACTTCCTGGCAGACCACGAATTTCAGAAGAGTGTTAAATGTCGTGTTCAACCTTTGGATTGCACATACCAGCATAGATAGAATGAAAAATACGAGGTACACGGTCAGTATAAATACATATACAAGTCCACCAAGAGGTAAGGAGGGAGGAAAGACGGACAGGGAGGCAGAGAGAGAGAGGGGGCAGCTCAAAAAAGGACCACCTCTTGTAAATACAAAACGGCAGCTCAAAAAAGGACCACCTCTTGTAAATGCAAAACGGCAGCTCAAAAAAACGACCACCTCTTGTAAATACAAAACGACAGCTCAAAAAAATTACCACCTCTTGTAAATACAAAACGGCAGCTCAAAAAAGGGCACATCTTACACATAATTACAGCGGTAACTTCCCCGTAGAAGTGTGATAATAAAGTATTGAAGCTACATACGTGACTTTACCGAAAAAAACAATGAGTAATTTTATGCTGTCACGAAAGCTTTAACTTTATCACACTTCTACGGGGAAGTTACCGTTGTAATTATGTGTAAGATGTGCCCTTTTTTGAGCTGCCGTTTTGTATTTACAAGAGGTGGTCATTTTTTGAGCTGCCGTTTTGTATTTACAAGAGGTGGTCCTTTTTTGAGCTGCCCCCTCTCTCTCTCTGCCTCCCTGTTCGTCTTTCCTCCCTCCTTACCTCTTGGTGGACTTGTATATGTATTTCTACTGACCGTGTACCTCGTATTTTTCATTCTATCTATGCTGGTATGTGCAATCCAAAGGTTGAACACGAAATTTAACACTCTTCTGAAATTCGTGGTCCGCCAGGAAGTGTCTAACTGTGTTGTTGGCCTGACTGGATGTGCTTCACATAATGTTTTTTTCAGGTTTGTTGAATTCTCGTCTCTCATCTTTTTGTTGTATTTACCTCCGTGATTTGTTCTTGACACCTGATGAAGGTCGCTTGCGTTGTGATCAAAACGTCGTGATTGTTTTAATATAATTTTATTGTATTTCTACATACGTGACTTTACCGGAAAAAAAACAATGAGTAATTTTACGCAGTCACGAAAGCTTCAATACTTTACTGGCAGCCAAATACTTTAAACGAATGTTTCTAAATGTGGAGGGGGAAAAAAAACCGGAGGGCCCGGGGTAAAATCCACGCCACAACGGGGAGAAAGACACCGCAAACTCCAAATACACGGCAGCAGGCGCCCCGTTGCACAGAGATAGCCTCATCTCACCACACCGCTTCCATTTCGAATTCAGCGAGGAAATGATTTACCAAGAGAAACGATGTCCTCCTGGTGCTCAAGCCGGCTGTTAATCACGGGGTAACCCTCCACGGCCTCTCCGTGGCTCATGAGCTGATATCCTAATTAGCATGAATAAAAAAAGAATAGCCGTTACCGTTGCCGGCAACAAAGCCGTTGTGTTAAGAAGTTCAAACACCAAATGGAAAAATTTTGCAAGAAATCATGTCCGCATTAAGCGCGCACAGTACTTGTGAACATGCGATCGGTTTTAAAGACAATGCGTTTATTACTATAATCGGAGCACGTGTTTGTGTGCATGTTCGCCACAAGTACCGTGTGTGGTTAATGCCGCCAGGATTCCTTGCGAAATGTTTCTATTTGGCGTTTGCACATCTTAACACAACTCGTGTTTTAATGCCAGACAGGATAAAAAAAAACTTTAATTGTTTTTTTCCATACTTTGATGCGCTCAACAGCAACAAAAAAACAGAGGGCCTTAATCCTAATTAGCGTTTACTTCGAAACGCACACCGGGCAAAAGCCCCCACGGCGTGCTGGGTCTACTCACTTCCACTATGCAGCCGTCGAAAGGGGGAGGGGGGGGGCGGGAGTTGCCGCCTGACACGACGCGCAGTCCGTGACCGCACGCGTGGGTGCTCCGTCCTCCACGTGGGCGCTCCGTCCTCCACGTGGGCGCTCCGTCCTCCACGTGGGCGCTCCGTTCCCCACGTGGGCGCTCCGTCCCCCACGTGGGCGCTCCGTCCCCCACGTGGGCGCTCCGTTCCCCACGTGGGCGCTCCGTTCCCCACGTGGGCGCTCCGTTCTCCACGTGGGCGCTCGCTTCCTCCACGTGGGCGCTCGCTTCCTGTCTCGTTGGGCCAGGCGGGGGATGGCACGGGTGCAGTGCCCGGATTATCCTGGTAACACAAGTAGCTACGCGTGTAGTAGTAGCTACACGTGTAGTACTAGCTACGGTCCCCGCACTTTGAAGGGCCCCGTGCTAAATGCTTTCAAGCTATCAATTCCGGTTCGGTGATTCTGCACTTGCTCTATTACTATAGTACTATAATGACTTCAAATTTTTTGAACGACTGGGTGTTTAAAGTTAGCGATTTGTCGTATGAAAAATGTAAATTACTTTACTATGCAAGTAAAAAATGTGTTTTAATATTTACGTGTTATTATTTTATGTAAGGCCCCTTTATAACATATGCTACAGATCCGTAACTGCTCACGTGCCAGCCCCATTATCCCTCTAGAAGGGGGGGGGGATGAATGCCGGTATGAAGGAGCGGTGGCGGTTCACTCGAGAGATTTAGGGCCCCCCCCCCCACACAAGTTTTAAGTTCAATTCGTAGTTGTTCTTCGGGTCAGATCGCGCGAGCGAAACGTGTGTCGTGAAGTCGTTTTTGTCGTGGCCTACAAGTGTATGCATTATAATTAATATCCTAAATGTAGTTTGAAAGGAAAGTGTTTGCTTGAATGTTAACATGCAGGTTAAGAATGGGATTTGAATGTGACCCTACTAGTCGTGATCGTTCAAGTGCAATCGAAATCGTTTGATCGTCGTTCGCATGCACAGTTTGCGCAACCTTTGCTGTATGCTGACGGGGTATCGGGCCACAGACGTTTCCCCAACACCATTCCCGTTCACATGTAAAGTTCAAAGTATAATCGGCTCTAACACGTAGTAGACTTTAGCGACCAATGTCATCCATAATTGAGATTTTTTTTGGTTAGATCGCGTAAATATATATGTCTCGTTAAAATCCGCCACCACCCGACAGCTAACTAGCAAGGGTTGTCACGTTAACAGAACGTGCCAATTCGTTACGAGTACAGCACAGCGGTGTGTTGGAGAGCCAAGCCACAACATTTACAATCTGAGTACAACGTTTTCGCCAGTAATTACAAACCAGCTTCATCAGGCGGACAGCCA